TATATTATATTTAATTTATTTATTTTTAGTTCTCGGCAGACACAACATCTTTGTTTGTATGTGGTGCTGAGGATCGAACCCGGGCTGCACACATGCCAGGCGAGCGCGCTACCGCTTGAGCCACATCCCCAGCCCTAAAAATATTTTTTAAAAGGAGAGATTTATTATAGAAATAAAAACAACTTTCTTGTTTACCAAAGATCAAAGATGTCTTTTTTTTTTTTTCTGCTTGCTTCTTCAACCAGTTATAACATCTTCATGTAAAGCAAAGTTACTGGGCAAGAGCAGCACCCTATGCAGGCTATTTCATAGTATAATGGCTGGTTAATAAAGAAGCCACCCATTTAACCCTTTTCTCACCTGGTATTATCCAAAGAATAATCCAAAAGGACCAGGATCACAAAGACTTATAACCAAGGTACAATTATATATTTTCAGCTGTAGTTTTACTTCTTCAACCATGCCCCCAAATGAGCCATTATTGAATCAAGAATCTCTTTCCACTTATTAGAAAACTCTAATGAACAGATGCTTCAAAGACTAGTTCAAGGCAGTACAGCTACTTGAGAAGAGTGGACCAAAAAAGATGGGGAACATAAGAAAGAGTGAACAAAGGAAAACTACTTTTTTACAGGTTCTTTGTTTTTGCTACTGAGAAATTAAGATATTTTCAGTCTTTTGCTTTCCTTTTCCACATTGTCTCTAATGTTCTGGAGTTTCCTACAGTTCTGGACCAGGGACACCAAACTCTTCCTAAAATCACTAGTCCCATGATCTCTGCAAACATTTTCAAGCTCATCAAACAAAGTCAAAGTCTGTTTGAGTTTGGCTTGAACAATTTTTTGCTCTTCTAATTCTGCAAGAAGGGCCTGCTTAGTACATAATTCAGTCTTATACTTTTCCTGTAATTCTTCAATTTCTTTTTGGAGAAGCTGGAATTCTTCTTCACTATAAGGATGCGTCTCCTGACATTTGTCTTCAGGAAGCAAGATATTTGGGGGAATACGCAAAATCATCTGCAAAAGCAGCTGCTCCATTTTGCCAAAAAGTTTATCAAAATGTCCTTTCATGAAGCAAAGAAACTTCTCTGTGCATTTACGAATCTGGACTGGGCTAATATCACAGTCTGGGATTCCCTCCATCTTCTTCATAATAACCTGTTCAACAGCCTGCATCACTTCAAATAGGTAATCTTGAAATGCAATGTAGATCCTAAGCATGCAAGTCTCTGGTGTGAAGCCAAAGAACTGGGCCTCATAGGTCATTGGATCCACTGACATCTTGGTTTACTTTGCTATTTTCAATTATGAAAAATCTGCAAATGTAAAAAGAAAATAAAAATTCATTTGGATAAAAAAAAATGAAGAAAGTAATAGATCACATCACAAACAAGGACTCAAAGAAAAAAATAAGTTTGTGTTCCTTGATACCTGCTGTTATTTCCAGCCTTGATTGTCCATAAAAGGATACAAACCATGCTTCTCTGAGGCTCTTTCCTCATTCTAGAACCGACTTGCCCCTCTCCTCATTATTCATTTGTCTCCACCTCTCATGTGTTGAAGTCTTTGGCACACAGATCAATCTTCTGGCTCTGTTATCATCTTGGACAATTTTAAAATTTACATAGATGATCTATGAGATTGCCCCAGATACATGAATTTCAATATCTACAGCTCCATTCTTTCAGCCAGCTGGTTCTTTTTTTTTTTAGAATTTTAATATTTATTTTTTAGTTATCGGCGGGCACAACATCTTTGTTTGTATGTTGTGCTGAGGATTGAACCCGGGCCACCTGGTTCTTGATATTTGTTAACTTCTCTCCCCAACAACTCCTACTTTTTGACCACAACCTCCTATATTATTCTTCCAACTATCATTCACATATTCTCATTGTACTTTAATCTAATAACCTTCTTTCTTGCTCTCAGTCTCTTCAGTTCTTTCCCCAGTCCTTTCAAGCCTCGTGATCTTCTATTACTTTAAATACCCTATTGCCAGTGGCCTCAATCGCTTGCCTTCCACCCCAACCATCTGAAAAAAATCCCTATCAGAAGATGAACAAGGGGGCTTTATAACACTGACTTGTTTTTTCAAGGGTATGTGTATTGGGGGAGGGGGTTTCATTCCTTTCAAATGTAAACATCTAGGAAAATATCACATATCTCCCTGTCACAATGAGATCAATCTAGACATCTTTGTCCTAGTTGTAACCATATGCTTGTCATAGAAATAAGAGAAGTTTTTTTCTTAACTCCTTTAGATAAAGGTACATAGGCAATAATAACTGACATTTCAATTACCATGTTAATTTAGGATGGACTTCATGACAACATGCAGGAAATGATGTGTCCAATCTTCTTATAGAAAACAGATACTGCTAATCTTGAAGTTTTATGTATATAATGGTTTAAAATAGAGTGATTGTAACTGTGTGATTGTTTAAACAAGGTAGAATTTCTTTGTTTAGAGACTGTCTACAAAACATTGTAATCCTGATGTTATTCAATAATAAAATTGCTTTCTTTTCTATTTTGTAGAGGATTCTCTGAATTTTTATTTTCAATACTTCCCTATGCCTCCAGGATCAACTCAAACCCTCTCAATGTGGTTTATAAGGGCCTTCATCATCTGACTCTTACTAACCACACTTTTTTTTTAAATACCCTACATGTCTAATTTGAGTTAAAACTTCTATTTTTGTCCTCTATTACTTATCCTTTTACTTTTCACCTCCCATCCTTAGTAGGAACCTAATTATAGTGTTTTTAATGTGTGTCTTTTAAATTCATATTTATCTGTGGATAGATATTTTATATATATATTTTATACATATACATTTATTTTTTTTGATAACTTCATATTATTATTTAAGTTTACTTCATTTGTTCTGACTAAAGTATTCCATCAACTCTATCACATTTAAAGATTCATTCTTCTTGTGACAAACACCTCATTTGTTCCTAGCATTTTCTTTGGGGGGGGGGGCGGAGTACCAGGGATTGAACTCAAGGGCAGTCAGTCACTGAGCCATATCCCAGCCCTATTTTGTATTTTATTTAGAGATAACCTCTGAGTTGCTTAGCACCCCGCTTTTGCTGAGGCTGGCTTTGAACTTGTGATCCTCCTACCTCAGCCTCCCAGCCACTGGGATTACAGGTGTGCACCACCATGCCTGGCCTGTTCTTAGCATCTTGCTACCAGAAATTAAATGAACATCTTCCTATGATGTCTCCTTGGGGACTTGCCAGGTTTTTCAAAGGCAAGTCATTGCTAGGCCAAAGAAAGAGTTTACTCATAGATAACTTCACCAAATATTGCCAAAATGTTTTCCAGAACATGTGCGCTGATTTACACTCACACTTGTGCTAGATGACAATTTCTTCCTCATATCTTTGCCAACACTCAACAGTATGCAACATTCTAACTTTTGCCAATTTGGCAGATGTAAAATTGTTTCACACAAGTTGTTTTTAGAAAACCAAAATCATCTACCCTCAGACACTAACTGGTCACTGAGAACTGAAACTGTCTACGTTCCCTCCCCCACAACCTCATGTCCACATTAGCATGACTTTAATATTCTAGAAGACTAGAATATTTCCACTGTTCAAATGGTTTGGTTGTTCCTTACAAACTCCCTAAAAGATGGTCCACTCTTAGTGGAAACTATCAACAATCTGTATGCTACCATTCTCTAAACTTTACCTCAAGTTTCCATCTATCTTGGATCGTTGTATTATGACACATAGCACACTGTAATCAAGCCCCATACATTGGGAAATATACTTGAAATCAAACTTAGAAGTCTCAAAAAATTCCAATCTTATCCTTCTCCCCTAAGAGTCACTGTAAATGCTCTACTGAGGTGGTGGTCTCACAGTAAGTAACAAACAACCACTGTTTTAATCAACAGGCTGTGAAGATTTCTTTTTCTGTTAACTACCCATTCATACCCCCTTTTTATTGTAGTTTTTGTTTTGTGAGGGGATCCAGACAAGTTGCCTAGGCTAACCTCCAACGTGAGATTCATGTGATCCTCCTGTCTCAAACCCCCTAGCAGCTGGGACTATAAACTCGTGCCACTGCACCTGGTCTTTTTGTTGTTGATGATGTTTGAACCACTTTCTCCAACCTGTTATTTGTTTTGTTTTTCTTCTCTGTTCCATTGAGTGACAGTTGCCACTGTTACAGTACCAGGGCAAGAATGCAACCAATGGTTTTCTCTCAGCACCAGCTACCAAATCCTGGCCCCACTGCCTAGGGGAGGACCTGTGAAAGTGCTAGCCAACCTTTTATTTGGTTCTTTCCTTCCTTACCACACCAGATGATGCTCCGTTCCTTGTTCCGAAATTTTTTTTTTTTTTTTTTTTTTGTACCGGGGATTGAAGCCAGGGGTGCTTAACCACTAAGCCACATCCCCAGTCTTTTTTCTTTTGAGACAGGGTCTCACTAAGTTGCTGAGACTGGCCTTGAATCTGGGATCCTCCTGCTTCATTGCTCCGGAATTCTTTAGCGTTTTCTAACTTTGTTAGTCCACCCAATAAAGTATGATGCTCTTAACCTCTCTTGCAAAGATTAGGCTAGTCTTTGCTCCGACCAAAACGAGCTATTTTTCTTGCCCTCCAGTAGGCATGCCTTGGGTAAACAGCCTTTAAGGGCCACTGCAAGCACCCTTTCCTGATGACCCACCACACCCTCCTCTGAATTCCCATCAGTTGCTCTCTTCGCAACTGACTGATCTAGTCCTACGGTCTCATCTTCTCTGCTAGCCTTAGAGTTCCTGAAGGTAAGACGAGATTCAGGGCGGGAGACGCCCAGGCCATCTCAGTGAACTTAGATGCTTTTAAGAGCTCGCGAACACTCTGGACAGGACCCAGAAGCGGCAGAGCTGGAGAAGCTTCCGGGCAGCTCCCGGCTCCCATCCGGCTCTGCGATCCCGCTGCATGCCGGGACCTTCAGGTCGGGGCCCGCAGCAGAGCGGCGCGGCTCACCCAGAGGCCGCCCAAGTCCCTCTACGTGGGGGAACCTAGTTCCCGCCTCTCCTCAGCGAAAACGCGGCCCCCGCAGCATTTACCGTAGCCACCATGGAGGTGATGAAGTCGATCACACACAAGCGTCCCGCTATCTCCTTTAAGGCACCGCGATCTGCCAAAGATGGGCGGCACTGCTGGCACTTCAAAATTCCGACTGATATGTGCCTCCACGAACGAAAGCAAAGGCGGGATGCTATCGCCCTCCCGATTGGCTGACTGTCGGGTCAGAGTGGGCACCTCGATTGGTGACGGAAAGGGGCCAAAAGGGAAAGCTAGCTGTGGCCGGCGGGGATTGGCGGAAGGAATCGATCTTTTCTCTCTTCTTTCCTACGTTGGTAGGAGGAGAAGGTGGGCCGGGGCGCCGCGGAGACGCAACTCGTGATTGGTGGGTCAGCGATTCTTAACGCTCTAGTGATTGGTGGCTGGCCGATTGTGCGGCGCTGATTGGACAGTAGCGGGTAAGCTAAAGCCTGGGACGCTCTGAGCCCGCCCTGCCGCTTGGGCATACTGGCGGAAGGGGAAGTTGGGGGGTGGGCAGGCGGCGGTGGGAAAGATGGCGTACCAGAGCCTCCGGCTGGAGTATCTGCAAATCCCACCGGTTAGCCGCGCCTACACCACCGCCTGCGTCCTCACCACCGCCGCTGTGGTGAGCAGCTGCAGCGCCTCCTTCTCCTTTTCTGGGCTGGATATGACTGGTTCTTCAGGAAACTGGGGTTGGGCCTCGAGGAAGCCCAGAGGGTCTGGTCCCAGGGGTGGGTAGAGGCATACAAGGCACACTCCTGGGTTCGGGGTGGTTCCAAGAGTGCTAATTCAATGGCCCGAGAAGGGAGTGCTGCTCCATGAGGGATCAGATCAGTCTCTGAGAGATGAAACCGGACCTATAGGTGGTAAGGGCTGCGGGAGCCGCCCACCCAAAATGTGTCCGAAAGCTATAGTAATTTTTAGGTGGTAACGTAGTGATTTGTGGGAGGAAGGTCCGCTAAGTGAAGAGACTTAGGTATTGAATATAGAAAACTATCGAGAGGGAAACATCATAGGGGTCTGTAGATAAAAGGGGCTGGCAGTAGCACCCCAGTCCTAATGATGGCAGGGTCTCCAATCTCAGTTATTTCAAGTAAGTTATGTTTTGCACCCATCTGTTTCGGTGATGCTCACGTAATGGGCACATTAGTAATAGCTGCTCTTACGTAGACTAAATCTAAAAGTACCATCACCTGCCTGCCTCCTATGCCTTCATGTGATCCTCAAGCATTGTAACACATTTTTTTAAAATGTTGTGTTATTGAGGATACAAAGAGTTGTGCCAGGTGTAGACAATTCTTTACCAGCTTCTTCCTCTGGCCTAAGAAAGGCTTAAAAGTAATTCATCCTAAGTGATTTGAGAATTGGCACTTGCTAGACCTATTTACTAATCCTTTGTTGTAAGTGATGAAATTTTTTTTTGATTGATTTGTTTTAAGACGCTCTTTTTCTATTTCAGCAGCTGGAATTGATCACACCTTTTCAGCTGTACTTCAATCCTGAATTAATTTTTAAACACTTTCAAGTAAGTGGCCCTTCAAAACCATAGTTAATGTTTCTGTTGCTTCTGTTTTGAGCTGTTAAGTAGCAAATTCTGCCATGTGGCATCTCAGAAAAGAGTCCACTGGGGACCTGAGATTGTAAATCATATTGTTGAGGTGTAAAGCAATGATTCTGCAAGCTGGCTGGGCTTCAGAGTCACTTAGGGAACTTTTAAGAGAATCACAAGCTTTTTATCTGTAGAAGCTTTTTAATTCTGTACTAAATCAGAATCACCAGGGATAGGAATTAACATTTTGTATTTTATCTTTAAGGTTCCTTGCATAGTTTTCATGTGTTCAGTTCCTGTATTGGGTATCGCTGTCTTATAGTTTATTGTAGTTTTAAAAGGAGACTGATTAGCAAGGTGCCCAGAGGGTTTTGCAGGATGGCCTTATTTTGTCCTTCACCACCTGTTCACACCACCTTGTTATCATCATGGTTCAGTTCATAAGTTCAATTCTTTTTTTTTTTTTTAATTTTTTTTAGATATACATGCCAGTAGAGTGTATTTATATATATATATATAAAATATATATATATATTATATATATATATATATATTTTTTTTTTTTTAAGTTGTTGATAGGCCTTTATTTATTTGTATGTGGTGCTGAGAATCGAACCCAGTGCCTCACACATGCCAGGCAAGTATACTACCGCTAAGCCACAGCCCTAGCCCAG